GACCTAAGGCTTGTCATTTTTCTTTCAGCCCGAACTACCTCAGAAGAGGGTTGCGGTGAAGATAAATTGGGGGAGAACAGGTAGAGTTGCCAACTCCGGGTTGGCAAATACCTGGAGATTTTGGGGGTGAAGCCTGAGGAATGTGGGGTTTGGGGAGGGGAGGGACTTCACTGGAATATAGGGCCATAGAGCCCACCTCCCAAAGCAGCCATTGTCTTCAGGTGAGCAGTCTGGTTAACACATTCCAAGGCAGCCATTTTCTTCAGGTGAACTCTGTCTCCTGGAGATCCAGTTGTAATAGGAGACAAACTCCAGCCATCACCTGGAGGTTGGCAGCCTTAGGGACAGGTGAGCCTTGTATGTTCTTAGATACTTTGAATAAGGATGTCATTAAAATGTTTCCGTAAACTTGGCTGTGAGACATGGGTTAGACTCACCACAGGGTAGGAAAATTCAGGTGAGGTAGCCATATTGGTCTGAAGCGGCAGAACAAAGTTTGAGTCCAGTGGAACCTTAAGACCAACCAAGTTTTATTCAAAGTGTGAGCTTTCCTGTCTGAAGAAGTGTGCTTTGCACATGAAAGGTTATGCAGGGTAGGAGCCATGCCTCAACCGCAGAGCTTTTGCTTTGCACACAGAAGGTCCCAAGATCAGCCCCAACACCTCCCGTTCAGCAAGTGTGAAAGACCTTAACCCGAAATCTCAGCCACCCTCTGCCAAATCTGAGTAGACAATACTGACCTTGACAGACCAAAGATCCAACACAGTATAAGGCAAATTCCTATGTGCCATGATGCCACAGGAGAGCGAAATGTTTCTTAGAAGCAGCACATGTGCTTTGCATGTTCCTGGTGTCTCCAGCCACATTTAACATCCAGGATGGTGCAGTAGTCAGAATACTGGACAGGGCCAAACTTGGGTTCACCCCCCACACAAACACACCAGTCATGAAATGCACTTGGTGACCCATTCTCTCTCAGCCTGCCCTACCTCACCGGCATTTTTGCAAAGGTAAAAAAGAAAAACAATTGCAATACACTCCCCTTTTAAACTTTTGGAAGGAGGAAATAATAAAATTGTAATAGACTCAGATACCAGTTCTTCCAACCATAAATTGGAATGTTTTTTTTCCCATAGTTTCCCAGCGGGGGAAAGCTTGGCTTTCATTGACTATCTCAAAACAGGGTAGAGCTCAGTGGTAGAGCATCAGGAGGGGCTGTGGCTCAGTGGTAGAGCATCTGCTTGGCATGCAGAGGGTCCCCGGTTCAATCCCTGGCATCTCCAGTTACGAGAATCTGGTAGCAGGTGATGTGAAAGATGTCTCCACCTCAGACCCTGCAGTGCCGCTACCAGTCTGTGTAAGCAATACTTTGATGGACCCAGTCAGTAGAATGTAGTTTCATGTGTTCAAGACACAGGAGCAAAGAAGCAGTAGGTTGAGGTCAGGAACACCGAGCTCTCTGGAAACAGAATATCATCTTATCTAGGAAGGTACTTTTAAATGCCCCCGCATTATCTCAGCTGTGCATCCGCAGTGTGACTCAACCCACAAGAGAAAAACGGTAGCCCGCTGAGGAGAAAAAAGAGAGAGTCTTCCATATTAAGCTAAGTGGATTCTTGGCACAGAAAGCAGCCCTGAGTCATGGCAGGAGATTGCTGAGTACCTGGACTGAGTTACAGAGGGGGATGGGTCGGGAGCTAGGATTCCTGGGTTCTCCTGGATGGAAAGAGAATGGAAGATCTAGCAGCTAGGACTTCCCAGGTTCCCTAGAAATACAGCTTTAAATTTAGCAGTGAGTTAGAAAACTGGGCGGGGGGTGGGTGGGATATGCAAGAGCTCTGTCTAGGTGCCAGTGATGATTCAGAGTTCTAACTCAGCTGTCCCTTTAATAGCAGCTGGATCCGCAGCAATCAGCAAGTGGAAATGCTTATCTCCCGAGTCCTGCCAGAATTCCTGCCTAACACAGCTACTATTGAAGACACAGCTGCAGAGGAAGGTTGAGAAGTTGGCAGCATTCAAGAGCCTGCGTGGTGCAACGATCAGAGCATCAAGACTAGGAGTGGTAAACTCTGCCATGGAAGCCTCCAAGCCGAAGAGCCAGCGCTGTGCGAAGACTTCACTGAGGCGCAAGGAACGCTGTTACCTTCCCACCGAAGCGGTACCTATTTATCTATTTGCAATTTCTTGCTTTCGAACTGCTAGGTTGGCAGGAGCTGGAGCCAAAGACGGGAGCTCACTCTGTCACACGGCACTCTGGTCTTGAACTGCCAAGCTACCGACCTTCCGGTCTGCAATTCAGCATCTTAACCTCTGAGCCACTGCGGACCCTTTTGGGGTCCATTACTGGGGTATTAAACAAGAACAGAACAAAACAACAGCCAGCAGCCTCAAGGACATCAAACAGTAATCGCAAAAGAATCCAGAACCTTGTTTGAAGTTACAGGCCGGGGTGGGGTGGGTGGGGGGAGTTTTAAAAAAGTCTTTCAGCTATTTAAAGCGCTTTAGTTGACATAGTAGTGAGAAGAGAGGTGATTAACTGCTACCAAGATTTTTGAGGACTAGGAATTCCAAGATGGATAAGCTGATCACATGTCCCCAGTACAGGATGGGGACAGGAGATAACTTTTGGTCAGGATTCAGGAACACAGAACAGTGTGAGGATATATATGGAGCTTTCCATCTTCTTATGGTTGCTTAGCCCACCCAGTGGAAGCAGGGGCAAGGGGGGGGGGAGCCATGTTTTAAAGATTTCACCAGTGGTTCCAGACCCACACAAAGTGTCCTATTCTGTCATGTGAATCATTAGCATTACCATAAGTGCTACATGATACAGAAGAGAAGAGATTGGATTTATACCCCGCCCTTCACTACCCAAAGGAGTCTCATAGTGGCTTGCAATTTCCTTTCCCTTCCCCTCCCCACAACAGACACCCTGTGAGGTAGGTGGAGCTGAGAGAGCTTTTCGAGAACTGCTCCGGGGAGGGGAGAAGAATCTACATGTGAACGTGCTCCTAAGTCCTAGACTGCCTCCTGAGATCTCAACTAGTCCAATATAATTACAGCTTAGGGTGGTGGTGAGCATATCACAATTCTGCAAGAGAGCAAGAAAATCACAGAATTCAGATCCTTGAGAATCTCAATTTTCACTGAAAGCAAAAGGTTCTAGTCCTTATGGCTGGAAAGAGCACATGCCCCATCTGCTGAAATCTAGCTCCCACGAGAGGCGAGGCCAAGGAAAATTCCTTGTAGCTGTAACTACACGTTCACTCCGTGTTTCTCCCCATGACTACCTGAATACAGGCCTTTAGACGTTCACTCCGTGTTTCTCCCCATGACTAGCAGTGGGGGAATGTTATACTAAACAAAGCAAAACAGCTAGGTTTGAGTCCAGGGGAACCAAAATGATTTTGGGGGTATAAGCTTTTGAGAGTCAAAGCTTCCTTTGTCAGATATTTGATGATGGGGAGCTTTGACTCTGAAAAGCTCATACCCCAAAAACATTGTTGGTCTCTGAGGTATCACTGGATTAACATCTAGCTCTTCTACTGCAGATGAACACGGCTACCCTCTGGAATGAAACATGGTAAAATAACTGCAGGACTACAGTCATCGATCCAGAGGAGTTAGCCGTGTTAGTCTGTTGCTGCAAAATAGTAAGAAGCCCAGTAGCACCTTTAAGACTAACACACTTTACAGTAGCATAAGCTTTCGAGAAACACAGCTCTCTGATGAAGGCAGCCACATCTGACGAAGAGAGCTGTGTTTCTTTGAAAGGTTATGCTACTATAAAGTGTGTTAGTCTTAAAGGTGCTGCTGGGCTTTTTATTGTTTTGCAGAACTATGAAAAGAGAAGCTAATTGAATTTACTTCATTTGTAAGAATGCAGAAGCCTGTGTTTTGGGGTTTTTTCTCAGTGCAGAATTTGGAACGTCCGAGTTTTTCTCTCTCCACTCAATGCGGACTCAAAGCAACTTACAAGATTGAAAAAGGGCAACGGGGTGGGGGGTGGGGAAATCCATTCTACAAAAGAAAAATTACATTCAGATGATGAAACAAAATATACCTACCATCAACCAACTAAAAGAGCAGCAGACCCCTTGATGAAAGCAGTGCAACCCCCCCCCCCCAAACAAGAAGAAGAGGAGATTGGATTTATACCCCCGCCCTTCACTACCCAAAGGAGTCTCAGGTTCTCCCAGATTAGAGTCCACACACTTAACCACTACACCAGACAAGGCAGGCAAGCCAGGATTCCCTTGCTTCCACCAGGCTACTCTCCTTTATCTTTCCAGGGGCTTGAGGGGAAGGGCAGAGGAGGGTCAAATCCCCACTCAGGTGTGTCATTCATTGGGTGAACTTGGGCCAGTCGCTTTCTCTTTGCCTAACCTACCTTGCAAGGGTGTTGTGAGGATAAAACAGAGGAGGGGAGAACTGTGTGTGCCCTCCCCAAGTCCTTTAGAGGAAAGACGTGATAAGAATGGGATACATGGATAAGTATCTCACTTGATTTGTCTTCACTTAATTACTCAGAGCTGCGTAGCTTGGCCCTGAATATGCAGAGGTGACTCCACTGAAAAGCACTCCTTGAAGTTAAGCTGCAGTCTTGTATACATGTAAGCCCCCTGTGATGCAGTACACAGACAGTCAATGTGATAACAATGTGATACATGGATAAGAAGCTCACTTGATTTGTCATATGCGGAGGTGACTTCACTGAAAAGCACTCCTTGAAGTTAAGCTGCAGTGTTGTATACATGTAAGCCCCCTGTGATGCAGTACACAGACAGTCAACAGATATGGACGTGAGACCCGTCTCTAGACCCAAAGGATTAGGCATTCCCCTCTGCCCACCTCCCCCCAACCACACAGCAACGATGATTCAGACTTCTAACTCAGCAAAATATTTTAATGTCTCTGCAGAAAATAGAATAAACCAAGAAAACGACTCAACTAAGGAAACAGGCTCTTTCTTTAAGAGGTTCCCTTCCCACCCCACCTCCCAAACTCAGGGTGTTTTAACAACCCCATGAATCCTTCCTTTGGTTTCAGATCATCTTCTTGAAGTTCTCAATGGCTTCTTCTGCCTTCTGCAATTCAGTCTCACTTTGTTTCAACTGGGAAAAGAATAAAATTTGCACTGGTAAGCAGAGCATCTGTAGAAGCAGAAGAAGAGATTGGATTTATACCCCATCCTTCACTCGGAGTCTCAGAGCGGCTTACAAACTCCTTTCCCTTCCCCTCCCAACAGACACCCTGTGAGGTAGGTGGGGCTGAGAGAGCTCTTGACAGAAACTGCTCTTTTTCAAGAACAGCTCTTATCAGAACTATGGCTTGCCCAAGGTCATCCAGCAGCTGCAAGTGGAGGAGTGGGGAATCAAACCCAGTTCTCCCAGATTAGAGTCCACACACTAACCACTACACCAAACGTACTGATCATTAAGTCCCCTACGTATTGGCCATGAGAAGCCCGCTACCAGGCCTGTCAGATAGCCATTACCCGGTCCATGTGACATGGAACTGATTTTGAGATTTAGCAGTGGGGATTGTTACCTTGGCAGCATCTGTCTCCTGGACTTTGGGGGGCACCTTAGCGGTGTAGTCTGGGCTGTCCATGCGCTCCCGTAACCGCAGGATTTGCTTCTGCAACTCGGCCTTTTTGCCTACCAGTTTGGAGACCTCCTTCTCAGCATCGATCAAGCCCTGACAGGGGGGTGGAAAGAGCACAGTGCATTAATGGTAGTGGGGACAACTGTTCTGCCACCAGTGCGACACATGTGTCTCCTCACTCCAAAGAATAAGGGCGTAGTCCTCCCAAATGGATGCTGTAGTGAAGAGTGCATGTTCATGGTCCAGCACAGCTGATATTTAGTTTCCTAGTCCCCCTTGTGTCTGAAGAACAAGACTGTGATCTAAGCCTCTGTACAGATGGTCTCTGCAGAACACTGTGGAAATACAAGCTCCCCAGATGCTGACAGATGATATCATTTATTTATTTAATTTATACCCTGCCCTCTCCGCCGAGGCAGGCTCAGGGCGGTTTACATTAAAATGATTAAAAACAAATTAAAATCCAAAAAACAATGTTAAGATGCTACGCGTAACATTACAAATAAGACGGCGGAACATAGTTTTTTAAAACATTAACCATACAGGTGTCTGGTCAGGATGGTCACAGGCCACTATCCGCCCCCAGTATTGGGTATCATCACGGCACCATAGCCAATGATGACTTCCAGGGCAAGGCTCAGCTCAGTTGAATGCCTGGTGGAAGAGCTCCGTCTTGCAGGTTGTGTGGAACTGTAATAAGTCCCGCATGGCCCTAACATCCTTGGGGAGCTCATTCCCTCCGTCTTGCAGGTCCGCACGGCCCTAACATATTTGGGGAGCTCATTCCACCAGTGCGGAGCCACCACAGAAAAAGCTCTGGCCCTAGTCAGAGCTAGTCTGGCATCTTTAGGGCCGGGGAGATCCAGGAGATGTTGTGTCCCTGAGCACAGTACCCTCTGGGGAACGTGTGGGGAAAGGTGGTCCCACAGCTATGCTAGCCCTGACCTTATAAGGCTTTATAGGTAAGAGCCAGCACCTTGACGTGAATTTGGTGTGCTACAGGCAGCCAGTGCAGTGCTTTCAGGGCAGGCTGGATGTGTTCTCATGTGGAAAGTCCCAGCAGCATCCTGGCTGCTGCATTCTGCACCACCTGCAGCTTACTCGCAATACTATTAGCCATTTTACTATCAGATCCCTGCATGTTATTTGCTGTGGTGTACATAAATATGAGAAATCTGGTTTTTCGGGGAGGGGGGGATGTGACAGGGAGTAATAGCTGACTTTGATGTTTTATTGTTTATACCAGGGGTGGCCAAACTGCAGCTCGGGAGCTCTTTCGCACAGTCTAATTTAATGTTTATAAAAAGCAAATTTGCATATTTCCCCATAAAAACATGTGTACAATATTTGTTCATGTCTTGCGGCTCTTGAACACCTGACATTTCTTCTGTGTGGCTGTTACGTTAAGCAAGTTTAGCCACCCCTGGTTTAGACACTAGTGCCCCTTTACGACGGAACCACGTGGCCTTCCAAGGGAAAGGGAGATGGCAGTTAGCGGACTCCCATGCTAAAGTGATTTTGGTTCTGAGAGAGTTTCAGTTAATGATTGCCGTGTTCTTACGAAATACAAACCAACATTTTCTACGCATTCTGCCCCTTCCCCTGACTGGAGAGAGACCGCAGCATTGCCGGTTGATTTATAATCAGATCAACTGGCATTAGTGCATCTTAATGTCACTTGTCAAAACCTCTCTGTAACCTCGCGGGCTAGAAACACGGGTTTCTCTAGACGTCACACTGTGAGGCAGAATCCAGCTATACACGAATACTGTGGGTAGGCAGAGAGCACACACAGAGCCTCAGTTACAGGACCAGCCTGAGAAAGACAACCTGGCGACAGAGAAAGGAAAGCAGCAAGGCTATGCTGGAACCGCAGGCTCCACCCCCACCCCACCCCACCCCACCTCACCTGGAAGGAACGCCACGATTAGTCGATCTTACTGGTTCTTAGCTACTGGACATGCCACTGCATATGTGCTTTTAGCAGCCCTGTAGCTAGGGATTTGGGGGGAGGGGGCCTTGGGGGGCCCCCACCAGCTAATTAAATCAAAAGCTCCAGAAAAGGGGGGGGGTCATGGCCAGTGGCTGCAGTTCCCCCCCCCCCAGCAAGGGCCGGCCTTCCCTGCGGAGCATCCAGCTCCCTCCCTCCCCAAGGAGCCCCCCAGTGCCTCTTCCCGCTGCGCGCCACGTGGGGCAGCCTGACCTCCACACTCGGCTCCCTCCCAGACCTGGGAGAGGTGAGGCACACGGCAGCTGGGCTGGCCACCGGGGTGCTGCGTGTGGGCTCGGTGCGCCGGAGCACAGCTGGGCATGTCTGGCCTGGGGCAGAGGAGGCGCCTGCCTGCCTCCTTGCCTTGCCTTTACCTGCTGCTGAGGCGGCACAGAGAGCATCTGGTGGCAGGCAGCCCAAGATGGAGGCTTCTCCCGCCACCATTCATGCTTGCTGCCTTCCTGGGCCGCTCCGTCAACCTCACCTCGCCGCTTCTGCCGCCGCTACCTCTGAAATCACCACCCTCGTCTTCTCCACTGACAGGCAAGCAGGGTAAGGGGGCTCAGGGGGGAGGGGGTACTGAGGCTCGGAGCCCATAAAAACCATAAGAACCTAAGAGAAACCAATGTTGGATCAGGCCAATGGCCCATCCAGTCCAACACTCTGCTACACAGTGGCCAGAAATACCAGGTGCCATCAGGAGGTCCAGCAGTGGGGCCAGGACACTAGGAGCCCTCACACTGTTGCCCCCCCAAGCACCAAGAATACAGAGCATCACTTGCCCCAGACTGAGAGTTCCTATCTATATCTTGTGGCTAATAGCCACTGATGGACCTCTGTTCCATATGTTTATCCAGGGGTCATTTTGTAGAAAAAGAGGTGCCAGAGCATTAGCATACATATTAGCATCTCATTAGCATATGCCACGCCCCTTGACATTACTGGAAGTGTGTCAGAAGGGGAAGCAAAAAAGGGGGGGAGACATCTTTAAAAGCCTCCCCTTCCCTTCCCCAGCCGGCCTGCCAAGGCAGGATGGGGGGGGCTTGCCGCCACCACCATTTGTGCCCGCTCCTGGGCTGCCAGAGCGCCACTCGCACCGGCCCCAAATGACCCCTGTGTTTACCTAATTCCCTCTTGAAACCATCCATGCTTGTAGCCGCCACCACCTCCTGTGGCAGTGAATTCCACATGTTAATCACTCTTTGGGTGGAGAAGTACTTCTTTTAATCCATTCTAAACCAACTGCTCAGCAATTTCACTGAGTGCCCCCAAGTATTGTGAGAAAGAGAGAAAAGTACCTCTTTCTCTACCTGCTCTATCCCATGCATAATCTTATAAACCTCGATCATGTCACCCCTCAGCTGTCATTTCTCCAAGCTGAAGAGCCCCAAGCGCTTTAACCTTTCTTCACAGGGAAAGTGTTCCAACCCTTTGATCATTCTAGTTGCCCTTTTCTGCACTTTTTCCAATGCTATAATATTCTTTTTGAGGTGTGGTGACCAGAACTGTACACAGTATTCGAAATGAGGAATACTAGGGGGCTGGGCCCCATGGGCCCCACAGTAGCTATAGGCCTGGCTTTTAGTCACCTTGAGCAGAAGGTGGACAATGCATCTGTCAGAAACAATGCCCACGGCGCAGCCAGGAGGGGGCGCTTGTCCGGGCTTGAGAACCAGCACTTGCTTGGAAGAGGAGAGGGTGCAGATGTACTCAGAGCACTGAGCAACAGTCTCAACGGTGTCCGAGTCCAGGCATTGCAAGTAACCTATGGAGCAGAAGAAAAGAGGAATCGTTAATTTAACTTCAGATGGCTTGAGCTCAGAACCAGGACCATTCAGGCCTACTGAAACACCATTTTGAATTATTCCATCTTTTGCCAGAGTCAGACCCCGGAGTCTGACAAGATTGGGCTTGCCTGGGCTATCGAAGTCAGGGTGTACAGGATTGTTTTAAGGCCTAAGCACCACATCAGCTGTCTTTAGAATCCTGCATAGCTCTTTGTCCGTTTCCCAAACTAGCTGCACATATGTCATGGACTTCACCAAATTCAGTTTTTCATGGTTTAGAAATTACGTAATCTTGGCAGATAGTTTTGAGGGGGGTTTTACTAGCACAAAATACCAGGTACCTAGAGAGTGAATAAAAAAGAACAACTTAAACAAATATGCGTATGCATGTGTGGCAGGGAGGAATATTACTGAGGTAAAACTGCCTGTTAAAAAAATCATATTTATTTTTGCCCAAAATGAATATTTATGGCACAAGGTTGGCGATGCAGTCTGATTTGGAGGCTTTGGGGGAAAACTGGATGTTTCATATTGCATTTGGCTAGTAATCCCTGTACAATTTAAACTTCAAAGAAAAATATTCTTAACAGCTCATTCAAAATCAGTTTTTAAAATCAAAATCTTGCAATTTCTTCTTTTAAAGCATCTCCCTTCCCCCTAATTTGTGCTCTACACATTAAGAACAAAAATATCCTGTTCCTGGAGGGCTAGCTGTATTAGTCTGCTGCAGCAAAATAAAACAGGTTATCTTGCAAACTACAAAATGCTTATGCTGGAATCGAAACTTATTAGTCTTTAAGGTGCCCCGAGGCTCCAGTTTAAGAAAAATCACAGAGCAGTGAGGGAGCGAGACAGAGTATTTGACTCTTGAATCAAGGAAGTTCACTCCCCTCGCCTCCCCTCCCCTCCCCACCCTGCCCCATGAAGCTCATTCGACTGATACCATCAGCGAGCCATTCTCAACCAAGGTCTTCTCACAAAAAGAGGGTTTCCCAAGATTTGTGTACTGAACTGCAGCGGTTTCTCTCTGAGCTCCCCCCGTTTTCCCTTTGTCATCTTTCCGTGGCTTCTTCGTCATTCTGCCACACTCGCTCAATTTGAATCAAATGTGGTTTGAGAAAGCACAGAAACGACGAGGAAAACACAGAAAATGGGGAACAAGGAAGTGAGGAGGTGCAGCAAAATAACTTCTGCAGTTCGGCACCCAAGCCATGAGAAAACCTTCCATGAGGAAATGTCCCTCAGGCATGACATAAAAATTCACTGGAAAAAAATTCAGCTCACACCAACAAATTACTTCCTTCAAGGGCTGATCGGCATTTCAGACTGAGGAGGCTGGATAGCTACATTTTTATTCTCTGCAAAGGTCATTGTTCTCTCTCTCCCATTCTTCTCACACTTTGTACTCACAGTCAGTTTTAGTCTTGGTGAGGTTATAATCGGCTCTGAGGGAACGCACAGCCCTCACAATGCTCAGCATAAATCTGGATAGCTACATTTTTATTCTCTGCAAAGGTCATTGTTCTCTCTCTCCCATTCTTCTCACACTTTGTACTCACAGTCAGTTTTAGTCTTGGTGAGGTTATAATCGGCTCTGAGGGAACGCACAGCCCTCACAATGCTCAGCATAAAATCAACGATGCGGTCCAGGCCCTCATTCCTCCAGCGATACTAAGAAAGGACAGGAAAAGGTTTAACGATATTCCTGGTACCACAATTCACAAACAAAGTCAACACATGATATGAGCGCCCTGAACAGTGATATTCCTCCCTTGACAAAAGGTCATGAATGTTAGTAAAATGCACTAATAAACTGCTAGAACTTAACATTTTGCTGTTTGGTTCACATTGACTTACAATGGGCCTCTTATAACATGCCTTCACAGCCCACCCCCCACCCCCACCGGGGCTGCCTACCATGACATTTCTGGATTCAAGCCTGGGAGTTTCTTTCCTGATACCTGCTCTGTGGTAGGGTAAGAGGTGACACAGATGCTGGGGGGGTCGGAGGCAGGAGACCGTCGAGGCAGCCGCTGGAACAGCTCCTCCGTAACGAAAGGCATGAAGGGGCTGAGGAGACGAAGGCCGGCATCCAAGCAGGTGTAGAGAACATTCCGGGCTGTCTTGATTGCAGCTTCATCTGGACCAGCAAAGACAGGCTTCAGGCACTCCTAGGTGGAAGATTAAAGATGGTATAAGGAAATCAAATTAATGCCTTAATGGAATGTCTAGGTCAGCTTAAAAAGTATCTT